TGCCATCTGCTAAAGCTTGAAGAACTCCCAAAGGACCAGCATATTCAGGTCCAATACGTTGTTGTATCCCGGCGGATATTTCTCTTTCTAACCATACAATTACTAGTACGCCGATTGTGATTCCCAATACAGTAGTCAAAATAGGGACAAGCACCCATAGAATTCCATAGACTTCTTTTAAGAATTCCAATCTCGAAAAAGAATTGATATCTTGGACTTGTGATGTATCAATTATCATTTTAACGATCAACTTCTCCCATAATGATATCTATGCTACCTAGTATTGTCATAATATCAGCCAATTTCATTCTTTTAACTAACTGAGGAAGAATTTGCAAATTGATAAAACCCGGCGGGCGAATTTTCCATCTCCAAGGAAAACCACCCTGATCCCCTATCAAAAAAATGCCCAATTCCCCTTTTGGGGCTTCGACTCTCACATACAGTTCTTGTTTCGCCAATTCAAAAGTTGGCGAAGGTTTTTTACTAATGAATCGATAGTCAAAGTCATTCCATTCCGGAGACTGTCCTCGATCAAAAGATCGTATTTCTAAATTTTCATAAGGTCCCCCTGGAATTCCTTCCAAAGCTTGTTGAATAATTTTTATGGATTCCGTCATCTCACCAAGTCTGACTAAATAACGAGCTAATGAATCTCCTTCTTTTTGCCACTGAACTTCCCAATCAAATTCGTCATAACACTCATAATGATCAACTTTACGAAGATCCCATGGTATTCCGGAAGCTCGCAGCATTGGTCCTGATAACCCCCAATTTATTACCTCTTCTCCAGAAATAATGCCTACTCCCTCAACTCGTTCTAAAAAAATAGGATTTTGTGTAATAAGTTTTTGATATTCAGCAACCGCTGTCAAAAAATAATCGCAGAAATCCAAACATTTATCTATCCATCCATGAGGTAGATCAGCCGCGACTCCCCCGATACGAAAATAATTATGCATCATTCTCATACCGGTGGCTGCTTCGAATAGATCATATACTAATTCTCTTTCTCTGAAAATATAGAAGAAGGGAGTCTGTGCGCCAATATCCGCCATAAAAGGGCCAAGCCATAACAGATGAGAAGCTATACGACTCAATTCCAACATAATTACTCTGATATAGCTGGCTCTTTTAGGTACTTGAATATTTCCCAACAGTTCTGGACCATTTACAGTTATTGCTTCTGTAAACATAGTAGCTAAATAATCCCAACGTGTTACATAAGGTAGATATTGTATAATTGTTCGGTTTTCTGCAATTTTTTCCATCCCTCTGTGTAAATAACCCAATATTGGTTCACAGTCAATAACATCTTCACCATCCAAAGTAAGGATGAGTCGAAGAACACCGTGCATTGATGGGTGTAAATTAGTTAGAGATTCAAATTTACGACTATTTCATCTATTTTATAATATTTTAATAATTGAAATAGGTTCAAATTGAGGTCGTAAAATAGTTAATTTTTAAAATTATATTAGAAGTAAATTCAAATTTATATTTAATTAACTAATTTGTTTAATTTTTAGGAAATAATAAAAGAAAAGAAGCGTGGAGATGTCATGGTCAAATAACAGGTGGAAAAGTGGCTGAAAACCTTAAAAAAAAGCGCACAAGTGGGACCGTGCCACATCACTCTCTGCGCACCTCCACGCACCCCGCCTAAACCTTATCCATTTTGTTTCCTATTTTACCCTTCCAGTCAACTCACAGTCACCATTCCGTACCATTCTTATAAATTTATTAATATTAATTACAAACGCATGAAATTTCGAGTTTTTTTTTATAAGTGTGAAAGTATTAATTTTATTCATTTCTGAATTTTAAGTAATATTTTGTTTCTTTATAAACTAATATTTTAATGTCTAATAATAATAATACCTTTAAACTTTATTTTTTTTTTTAATAAACACATATAGAGAAGAAAGCATTGCAAATACTTCAAAAAAATATTATTTATTTTTTTAATTAACCATCCTATTAGAGAGTCTATAATTTGATAATTAAATTATAAATTTGGTATTTATAACTTTGAGTCTATAAGTTTTAAATTTAGAGCTTTGTTATTATAATTTGATAAAATTTGATAAATAATTTATATAAATTAATTACATTATAATATTTTAAATTGGAAGGACTAACGGGTAACTTTGACCAAATAATAAGGGTTAATTTTGTAATTTAACCGGTACGACAGGATCAGACGATTTCACGTGGTTCTGAAGCACCCGATGAAAACTCTCCTCCACTCCCGTTAAAAAGAGTCGTCCCTGAGACTTTGACAATTTATCCCCCCCTTCCAATCCCTAATTTTCTGCTTCTCTCATGGCGACCAATCTTCCCGTTTTCCATGCCGCTCCGATAAGGGCTTCGTCATCTGGAAAATCCGAACCTAATCGTCGGAAGGCTGCTGCGCCAAAGTGGTGGTCACCGATCTTCGGATGGTCCTCCGAGCCGGACTACATCGGTTCTTCCGCCGCGGATCAGCCTGTTCAGAATGCCGATCCAGAGCTCGACGGCGGACGACCGAAATCCAAATTCCTGCCAGGCTGCTTCACGGAGGAGAAGGCAAAACTGCTCCGGATGAAGACGCTGGAGAGCTCTACTTTTCATGACATTATGTATCATTCAGCAATCGCGTCGCGCCTCGCCTCCGATTTGTCGGACCGAAGCAAGGAATAGATCTACGAAGCTTAGCGCAGTGAGGTATTGTATTATGTTTTTTGAAATCTGTATCTGTACTGCCTTCCTTTGCAAATCGTCGTCTCAAAAAATTTGGGGAAAGGATATGAAGCTTACTTTCCCAATGAATTTACCTTTTACTTTTTGACTTTTAGATCGTGTAGATTGCTGAAACTTCAAACCTACTGTAATTTTCTTGCGTCTGATTATTGATTGACGACGATTGTTTAAGCCTTGTGTTCTTGTTACAATCACAATCAATTCATAGAAACGGTTGTAGATGAATAATACATCTTGATCTTGACCGGCCTTGAAATCTACGCCCACCGTTGTAATTTAATAGAACACTAGAAATAATTATCAGATGTGTAGCCCATGCCCTAACGATTTCTTCTCAGAGCCATTCAGTGAGATGTTTGCTGAATCATCTTAAGTGGATAATTTGAAGAATTTTTTAACATCAGATCGTCGCTGTTTAGGTCATGTTCTTAATTAGACTATTCAGAAAAGGAAAAGGAAATGAATTATGTAATTGAATCCAAACTTTTTTATTGTTCTGTGAAACGATCAAGTTTTGGATTGGACAAAATCTTGATTAATGAGGGAGAGAGATCACAATCTTTTTTCTTTGAGAATTGAAAAATCTTAAATTGTTTGAATTAAGAATGCTACAGAATCTGATAGGAGCGCTGTATAAGGTGTATATACTAATCAAATTAATGATAAATAATGATTCTGTAGATTAAATAATTGGGTCAGTTCTTTCCAAATCCCACCAAAAACAGATAATTAGGAATCTGGATGACTCACCTAAACGAGTTAATGATAGATTAATCGAATATATCCATTTTTTGAAGCGTGGCTAGATGTTGGGTAAAGAATTTTGTACGGTCCAATTTTTTTAACTTTTAATTTTTGGTTCTAAACATATTCAATATTATTAATTCAATCCATTTAGACAATATAGTCTTACAATAGTAAGAAGCAAGAAAAATATGTATGAATTTTGTATTTTATCTTAAAAAAAAATTCTTAAATTTTTAAAAGTTTCTATAATACTCTTACATTTTTTAAAAAAAACTTAAAAATGATTTGATTTAGGAAACTATTAACTTAATTAAATATTAATAGTGTTTCAAATTTATTAATACCCTTGACTTAAAAAATAAAAATAAAAATATTAATACTAATATATTATCTTCAAACATTTTAATGTTAGTTTTGAAACGTGGTACATGGATATTTTAAAATTTTTTAAAAAATATTTAAAGGTGTTTTTAAAAATTTTAAAATAATATTAAAAGTATTTTTTAAATTTAAAAAAAAATTAAAAGTATCGATAAAACTTTTGAAATTTTGAAAAGATATTTTTGGAAGTAGTTATAAAATATCTTTGAAACCATCTAGAAGTTGAAAGATATCTTTGAAACCATATTATCCTGTCTTGTCTTTCCTTTCTTTTATTGTTCCTTATTTCATAACACATTAACAATACTAGTCTCTACCATTTTGTTTCTTCATTTTGTTTTTGTATTTATACACATACCATTTCTATGTATTGAGATAGTTATTATTCGCTAAGTTTATTGTGATTATGTGCACATGATGTTACAAGCTTTTAAGTGAGTTCAAGTCACGAGGAGAAATAATTACTTATGAAAATATGTTCAAGAAGATATTTTATATTTTCAATGTCTCGAATATGCTCCTGCAGCACTAATATCGAAAGATTTTTTTAAAGTACTATAAACTTACATTGTCCTCTTTTATAACTAAACAAAATAAAGAGTTACTTAATATAAAGAAATCATGAATGTTGACCAATTGGAATAATATCCTTCTATGAAACAAATGTCGAAGTCATAACAGTAGAGAAACAAGTATTAATTCATTTCATAATAGTCGTCAACTACAAATAATGATGATCATAAGAATTTCAAAAGTGTCGTAACCGATCTGGCATGAAAGACGATTGGTCTCATACCTGTCTATGCCTCAGAGCACCTAGTCAACTTTCACCAAGCATCAAGGAAAGAACGTAGAAGCGAATTTCCCTGCTAATTTTTCTGAATCTCTAAAGAGAAAATTGATACAATTGAATCAGTAGGAAATAATTCATATGAGAATTCCCAAAATTAGTGTTGCTTCCAGTTTTAGTATATTTATTGTATATAATTCCAGCAAGTTCAAATTATTATTATTATTATTATTCTTTTTTTTGCAGAACCAAGAACAGTTGTCAATGCAGATAAGTACTACTATATGAAGTTGGTTTTGGAAGAATAAATCATATCTTGCCTAGAGGAACACATTTTTGTTTAGTTTTTATAATTTATAGACATATTTTTGTCCATAATCAGTTCATTCATGTGTATATGTAAGAAATTCAACTAAATCTTAACATACTTTTCACAATACTTACTAAATTGTTACTTCGATAAAAGAATAGAGATCAAAAGCGTTCTTTAACCAACGAAAAAACAATAGTCATCACAATGTAACATGCATAAATACACAAAACAATTTAGAGTTGTAATCACTTTTGCTTAATTCATTGATAAATTTGATTCAAAGATGATTTCCTTACATTCAACTAATCAGATGATCGCATCAGCAATAAAAACTCAACAATATATGTCTTCTAGAATGATTCATGATATAATTCTATTTCAAATAATATAAATACATGAGAGGTCATATGCAAGAGATTTTATAACTATGAAATGTATAAGCAGTGGTGGAGAAGGAAGCACTTTGCCTGTGTAAAAGCACGAGGTCAAAATTAGCTCCTTCCTTCACCGGCATCAGCCGCAGACTCCGGCCTGAAGCTTGTCTGCAGCAATGAGAAGCCGAGCATTCTCTCCTTGAATTTTGAAGCTCAATCTTCATCTTGAGTTGCTCAGCCGCTTCATTAACTGATAATAGGTAGAAAAGCTACATCATTATATACAAAGAAGTTAAATTCAAATCATCCAAAGCCTTTCCTAACAACAATGTCAAAGAAATAACAAGCATTTAAGGCCTGATAGTTACTTAGATCTACTATTCTTCTCCTTATCCAGTTCCTTTGCAAACTGATCAGAAGAAGAATATGAAAGATCAAGGTTACCTCTGTTCAACAACAAAATTATCAGCTATTTTTTGATTGATTGCAGATAAACAAATAAAATGTCTCTCTTCATCACTTCAGTTTTGCAGTTTGATGGGGACAAGTATTGGCCATCACAGCCTTTGCCCCTTTCACCTGAAAATATCTTAGCCACAATGTCATTCAGTATACAAATTTCTACAGCATAAACGTTTTATTTTCGTTACGTAAAAAAAAGATGAACACACATTCCTCAACTGCAGGCTTATCCTTTGTTTCATCAACATCATTAAGAGATAATTTCAACCTTTAGGTTTCTAAACGACCCGAAGTGTACAAAAATATGGATGAGTGTCATGTTTGAAATCAAAGATAAGAGAAGGGCACATGGTAATTGCAACCTACAGAAAGTTTACTTTCTATCTGGTTTTCAGAATAACTCAGGGACTTTTAGGTTTTCTTCTTTCTTCACAAAGTCCATTTATTTCAGTTAGCAACTTGCATTTCTACTGATATCGCACATAAATTAAACTAGACTCCAATAAAAGCATAAAAAAGCTAGGGATTACTCATCAAATGGCTTGCCGTAAGCATATTTGCAAGAATTTGGATGTGATATCCCATGGTGGTACATGGAAAAAGGAGCCAAGTATAATCCACAGCCACCGTCTTGAGAAAGCCCTAAAAGCCTCCAAGTTATTCCATGTCATAACAAGGGAAGGTACCCATATTTTCCTCAAATGAAGCGCATAGGCTGCTGAGGACATTATAGGATTAGAATGTATACAACACAATAGTACACTGTAGATCCAGAGCAGATAAGAGGAAATGTAAGAACCTTCACATGAAGAGGACAAAATTCATTTATGGAGAATAACTCTTGAAAAATCTTTACAGTATAGCATACTCTATTTTGAATCCTAGCGCTACCAAACAGAGCAGTCCAGTGAAACAAAAGAGTGACATTGATATGACAAAAAGCTTAAGGATCATTAAGAACGAAGAGCAATTCTCATTTCTGAATGGTTTGTACAAATCAATTGGGTGCTTCCCAAACTTCTAATTGAATGATGCACAGTGAAACTTACCCATAGAATGATATCAAGGGATACAGAAGTAAGAATTCGAAACAAAGAATAAATGCTCCAATCAATCATACAGATGTCTTTTTAGCAGCAGACATTAGATTTTTCAGCTCCGTCAAATATTCATCATTTGATATGTGGAGTGAAGCACGAATGCTTGAAACCTGTCCTTCGTCTTCCCAACTTAAAGGTCCTGAAGCATACAATACCCTAATAAAAGAACGAAATACACTTAGCTCTGACCTGTGGAATCCAACCGATACTTCCTCATCGGAGCATGAATTTTCTTCCTCATGTCCTCTTCCTGTAAATGATTCAGCATCACTGCAATAATCCTCATCCTTGACTTGTTTACTACGAGCTACAGAATTAAATGGCACCTTGAAAAAATCATCAGTGGAATTATTACTACCAACAGAGGAAGCACAGCTAACTGTGTGAATGTAATTTGAGGTTCTTGGAATAAGGTTGTCCTCTCTCAAACCAACATAACCTGTAGCAACTTCGGTATTTACAGCAGGAAAGGGGGAGCTCAATCTAACCCTACTCAACTCTCGTGTTAAGCACAGTTTAGTAGTTTTTGCTAAAGAAGGCAAATACGTAACATCTTTCTTAGTGATTTTCCTTTTCAGGATAGACACTGTGTGTTTTTTGGACTTTTCAAGCAAAGGCCTTCTCTGATGTCTGGTAGGAAGAGCCGTTACTAGCTGTTGAACCTTACTTTTCACCATGTCTGGAACTGTCTGCTTATTTCCAGGCAATGAACCCAAATCTTCAAAGGCCTGTCCAAGAAATAACCAATGAGATGATGGTTCAATAACTGTTTCAAGCACAAACTAGACTGCAGCATGCCTGGATTTTTCATTATGCACACGGAAGAAAGATGTAACACAATGCATGCATACAAAGCACAGTAAATCAATAAAACAGAAACAAAAAAAAAAAAAAAAAAAAAAAAATGCATTTGTAAATAAAGTATAATAAGGAAAAGGGTTGCAAGAAAATTGTTGTTAGGAAATTTACCTTTCCTAGGAGAAACCATTGGCCGTCGCGCCATGCCTGTCGCAATCTCAAATAAGATTGGCTAACCAAAACATCTAATGGTGATCCAAGTAGTCTTGCTAGATAGCAATTAACCCCAATGATCTGCATTATTCTTGCTTGTTTCCAAGAGGAATTGTGGAACGCTTCAGCAAGATCACCAGCAGCCCAAACATTTGGTCCTTCTACGGGGGGAGGACAGGGCCTTATCGCCCACCTCGGCACCTTCTCCACCGCTTCCTCCGTCTGAAAATATCTTACGCTATACGTACGGCCATTACCGGAAACAATTTCAGCACAACTCCATGAACCACTCGAAACCTCCTCCTGGCTATAAACCTCAACTTGATCCCCCTTCCTTAGTCTCATACTTCCAAAGATCCTAATTCTAAACAGATTGCAAGCCTGTAAAGATTAAAAAACAAAAAACGCTTTTCACTCATTCAGCAAGCCAAAAGTCCACGAACGAAACGAGACAAAACAAAAAAAACAGTAGTAATCAACATACAGAAAGCACAATAACTACAAAATTCTTCTACACTAAGCAGACGAGAAAAGAAACTTCCAAATTCAAACAGAAGAACAAAACTCCAAACCTGGAAAAAGAAATCAACGTAGAAAAGTGACGGAATCAAAAGAAGTCAAATGCGGAATTAAAGTGAACACAAAGCTGAATTCGATTGATTCAATGGTAAAATGAAATCAAACAACAACAACAAGAACAACAACACATTAAGAAGAGGTGTAGAAAGCGATCGATACCTCGAGAGAAGAATTGAGCGGAGTATGACAATGTTGTGAATCTTGTAAATAAATTCTTCAAATTGAGTGAAAAAAAGAAAAAGCTTTTTGGAGAAATTTATGAGCAAAGAGTAAATTATAAACAAGTTTAAATTCCAAAACCAATTGGGATACGGGAATGGCATCAGTTTTAAATCTGGGCTTGGGCTATAACCCATCTATCTCCTATTCAAACTCAATTTTAATTAACTTATCAATAATAACCACTTTTATTTTTAAATAATAAATATTTTAATGTCCCTTTAATTATTTCTTCCTATTCTCACTCTTTAAATCTTTAGGGTTTTAAAATTTTTAAACTTCAAATTTAAAATCTTTTTTACCCAATAAAATTTTAAAATTTTAAATACATAATGGTAATTTCACCTCTTATTTAAGAAATATTTATTTTTTAATTTAATCCTCAATTTCCTAATTTTTTAACATAACATTTATTATTTAATATATAAGGGTATTTTCAAAAATTAAAATTTTGACATTGACTAATTGAAATTTTTTTTTTTTTTTTTTAAATATTCTCCAAGATTTTCTCACTTTTATTTCATTCAAACGTATCTTTTTCACTTTTCTTTTTTAAATGTTAACATTTTTCTAAAATAAAAAAAAATAATAATAATATATCTAAAATATCTCTAATTTAATATATTTGGAATCTCAAATTTTATCTGTAAAGTCCCTATGACTTAACTGCTCTCTCTTTCTCTCTCTTATATTTATTAGTTATCTTTTTAATGTATTGGTTAGCTCGTTTATCTTTTAACATTTAATTATTTATAATTTGTATCTTTATTCATTTAATTTAATATATATATATATATATATATATATATATATATATATATTTTATAACTCCAACCCCACCATCCAACCCAAATTACAAAAATTAGGCTATGTTTGAGTTGAATTGGAAGTTTTTCTAGTCGTATCAACTTAAACAATCAGAAAAAATATAATTTTCAACCGTATATTATTTTTAAAATTATTATAAATATTAAGAATATTTGATATATATAAGGATTGATAACCATGAGTTACGACAAATTGATATTTAAGTTATTAAAGTAATATATATTACGTATAAGTATACTTAAAAAAAATGAATAACCGTCAACCTAATCCAACCAAAAAATGGAAAGTTTAGTTGGGTTGCAAGCTCTGTTTCGGTTACCAAGCTAATCAACTTCGAATTTTTGGTTGATCTAATTTTATTTTACAACACAATTCAAGAGCGTCTACATATTTTTGCCCCGCTTAACGTTCACATCAAACAAAAACACACTTATAAACTAGAGTTTAGTTCCTACATTTTAAAAATTGAAAATAATAATAATTAAAAGCACAATTATTAAATATGTTGTTTTTTTAACATTAAATAAAACTCAGAAATACCAAGTTTTCAAACATTGGCTCAAATAAAATTAAAATTTTAATATTTTGTGGTGTTAAAAAAAAAAAAAACAAATTTATTTGAAAAAAATGTCCGAAAAGATTGCGACGTGGCAGTCGCGTGTCCCGTAACATCAAGCATGTTTATAACCATACAAAACCGTCCATCGAAAAAGTAAACGACGTGTCGTTTTATTTACCCTACGCCTCCCGCGCATTTTAGTCTCACTTCCTTCACGACGACTCTAAAACGGCACCGTTTTTGTCCATACATGCGTATGTTAGCAAATGTACAAAATTTCCCAACGATTTTGGGCGCGAAAGTCACCACCAGGCACCAAGGTCCGTCCGAGGTACTTCAATGCGGGCGGCGATTCAACCATTTTCTCTTCACTGTTCGACTTCAAACAAGTTCATGGCGTCTAATTCGAGCTCTTTGCTCTGGTTTCGAAAGGGCATAAGGATTCACGACAATCCGGCGCTTGAATATGCGGCCAAGGGCGCCAATTGTCTCTATCCCGTTTTCGTCATCGATCCACATTACATGAAGCCTAATCCCTCGGCGTTTTCCCCTGGATCGTCTAGGGCTGGACTGAACCGTATTCAGTTCCTTCTTGAGAGCCTCGTGGACCTGGATATGAACCTCAAGAAGCTCGGCTCGCGCTTGCTGGTTCTTCACGGGGAGCCTGGTGAGGTCTTGATTCGCTGCTTGGAAGAGGTATATCTTGTAATTTTTCACATTTTCTCTGAGGGTTGAGCTAGAGTAGCTGTTACTGTAGCTTCTGCTTATGGTTATTAGTTTATTATCTGTGGATGCTTTCACTTTCTTGCAGTGGAATGTCAAGAAGCTTTGCTTCGAGTATGATACGGATCCTTACTACCAAGCTTTAGACAGTAGAGTTCAAGTAAGCTTGTTTTGTTTTGTTTGACTGTTTGTTTCTTTAAAAAATATTGGCCAATTATTTTGTAAATCTTGAGTAGGAAGCTGTAAAAGTGTTCAGATACTTGTAGTCATTGACGGAGCCAAAGAAAGAAGAAACGGTTAGAAATCATGACTTTCCACAATGGTATGATATTGTCCACTTTGAGCATAAACTCTCATGGCCTCGTAGCACTGGAGATAGTCCTCAACAATCCTCCCCTCGAACAAAGTACACTATAAGCCTCCCTTTAATCGAGGCTCGACTCCGTTCTCTGGAGCCCTCGAACAAAGTACATCCTTTGTTCAACACTCTAGTCACTTTTTTTACTACACCTTCGAGGCTCACAATTCTTTGTTCGATATTTGAGGATTCTATTGACATGGCTAAGTTTAGGGCATGGCTCTGATACCATGTTAGGAATCATGACTCTCCACAATGGTATGATATTGTCCACTTTGAGCATAAGCTCTCATGACTTTGCTTTGGGCTTCCTCAATAGGCCTCATACTATTGGAGATAATATTCCTCACTTATAAATGCATGATCTTCCACTAAATTGGAGATAATATTCCTCACGATCTTCCACTAAATTGGAGATAATATTCCTCACTTATAAACGCATGATCTTCCACTAAATTAACCAATGTGAGCTTCCAATAATTCTAATAGATACTTTCACAACTTAGTCCGTCGTAAATTTAAGAAGGGTCTATAAAATACTTAAGATCCTTGAGAATTGAGCATTTATAGTTTGAACGTTACTTTTCACCATACTTCAAAAATTAGAACGTTCAATTATTACTCTGAGTTTGAACTCTTGACGACGGAAATTTTGAGTGCGTCTGTTTTCTCGCAGAACCATGCGTCTGCTGCTGGGGTTGAAGTTTTCTCTCCTGTGAGCCATACTCTGTTCAATCCGGCAGACATTATTCAAAAGGTTAGTTTAAAAGGTCCAGTTTGAAAGCAATATTCTTGTGTGGAATTTGTTCTCAATTAGTTAGTACGTTTCCATTTTCTTACGATGGTTTAATTTGTAACGATAATTGTTGAGAAGAATGGGGGCAGGCCACCTCTGAGTTACCAATCCTTCCTAAAACTTGCTGGCGAGCCCTCTTGGGCACGTGCCCCTCTGTCTACCACAGTTTCTTCACTTCCTCCTGTTGGCGACACCCGAAGATCTCAGATTTTAGATGTTCCAACAATTAGAGACCTTGGTTATGAAGACATGGGAAAGGTTTGAAGTTTTTTATGTTGTAATATGAATCTGCCGTCTGTTACATGTGCAATAAAAATTAGATTTATGCAGGTTGAATGGACTCCTTTTAGAGGAGGTGAAACGGAAGCCTTGAAGAGGCTAGAAGAATCATTGAGTAACAAGGTACAGCTTCATCCCCAAAACTCTTGAAGATTCTAAGCCTCTATCTCCAAGGTCCCTACTTCTTCATATTTCTTTTTAGGATAAGAAGAAGAATATAAGCATTAAATTAGCAAACCAACGCATAGACAACCTACTAAATGGATATAACTGTTTGGGTAAGTCAGTGATGAACGTGTAAGATTTCTGCTAAATCAACTATGAATGTAAAAGCTTAAGCTGGTGTATTATGTTGAATTTAATTATATCAATAATCCAATACTCTCCTTCATTTGTGGGTTTGAAAATTTGTAAAAAGCCCAACAAGTAGCAATCAATATTAATTGGGGAGAAAATGACACTATGCGGGTCCAAACTTAAGATCTTCTACTCTGATATCATGTTAAATCATCATTCAATCTAAATTGATGAGTGATGGTAAATTTAGTTGTATCAATACTCCGATAGTTTCTTAATCGGATTTTTGCAGGATTGGGTGGCAAAGTTTGAGAAACCCAAAGGTGATCCATCTGCGTTCTTAAAGCCAGCTACAACTGTCTTATCGCCCTATCTGAAAGTGAGTGAATTGTCAATTTTTTTTTATCATCGATTTGTATGTTTGCTATTTGTCTCTCTTTGGTATGTAGTAACGAGCTTTCCCCATTTTTCTTTCAATTTTCTTATCAATTTTTCTGGCAGTTTGGGTGTCTCTCTTCCAGGTACTTCTATCAACGTGTTCAAGATATATATAAAAATGTCAAAGGGCATACAACACCTCCAGTTTCCCTTGTTGGACAGGTTTATTATTGTGCCTATCAGACGTGGCAATCTCATGGTGTCTGTCTTTGTAGTAACAAAATTTGTCTTCCTTAACAGCTTCTATGGCGGGAGTTTTTCTATACTGCAGCTTTTGGAACGCCTAATTTTGACCGGATGAAGGATAATAAAATATGCAAACAGGTACCTGATTTTACTCATCAATTCTCTTTGTCTGAATTAAGGACCCTGCCTAATTTTTTTTTCGTTACAACTTGTTGGCTAGAGAACTAGATATTTTATTATCTCTCACTTCTCCTCTGTGATAAAGTTCTGGTGGTGATTGTGGCATAAAATTGTAGCCTGCATGCATAAAAGTGAATGTTTTATATGCTTATCTATTATTTGTGATCTAATATGACGAACACAATCTTCCACAATGAAACTGGTTCCAGTGTTCCAGATCAGCAAAGTTTTATCTGATCTAAAGTTCCATGTATTCTTCTGGTGATTAGCATAAGACGATTATAGAACTCGAGTTTCTCTTTGATTTAAAGATTTTTAAACTGTATCTGTCTCAACAAGCATTGAATTCTTTTAGCTTCCACGTTAAGGATGTGCAAGATTTGGATTTCACCAACTGTTTAAGATCATGATAATGTAGTAGGTTATGCATAGTTAGGAAACCATCGTGTAAATGCGATTTGTTAATCATCTGAGGAGATTTACCTAAATCCAGTTGCTACTGAATTAGGCCCCGTTTGAGATTGCGTTTGAAGACGGTAAAAGTGATTGTTGGAAATTAAATAATATCACATTTTGATTCACATTGATTTACAAAAGCTGTTAAGAGTAGCTTTTAGATTTGGCTTCATAATAATATGTTGTAACTAACAATTTTTTTTTGAATTTTTTTAATCCTTCTTGTATATTATCTACAATGATTTTTTAAGTATTATTTTTTTACAATTTATCTCATCTCTTTAGTTTTTTTTTTTTTTTTTTTTTTTTTTTTTTTTTTTTTTTTTTTTAATTTTAATTAGTTGCTTCTAATTTATTTTTCTTACTTTTTTATATTTGAACTAAAATTAGATTTTGTTTGAAACAAAATTTTCTTATAACAATTTTTTTTTCTTGATATTTTTATTAAATTATTTAAATAAACAAAATATAATCTGTAGTTAAAATTCTATAAAAATTTACATAATTATCTTATACAAATTTGAATTTAAATATTAATACAAGCTCATGCTTAATTGAAATATATGTTTATGTTTGTCATTATAGCTATTTCATAACAATTTAGTATTAATTTACTAAACACTGCAATTAGACTTTCCACGTTTAAATCTGAAATTTACCCAGCACAAACTTTTTTCATACGACACTGATTTTCTTAAAAGGAAAGCTGACAACAATTATTTCAAAAGTTGTAGCATCTCGAACTAAGCCTAAAGAAGTTGTGAAAAGAAAATTATGATTATTAAAATATCAGGCTTAACTACAGGTGACAAAAGTTGGACCTGGTAGCACTATTTTGTTTACTCAAGGTTGTATGTGCTAAAGTGAATAAAATGAAATTGTAGATACCTTGGAAAGATGACAACGAACTCTTGGCGGCATGGAGAGATGCAAGAACAGGATTTCCTTGGATTGATGCTATCATGGTTCAGGTTAGTCTAGTTTATCCTTTCCCATTACCATCTATACATTTAGGTAGGTGACCTTAGTTCTACATGGCCATAAGATAGCGAAACAGTTGTTTTATTTTTTGGTTGTAGCTTCGTAAATGGGGTTGGATGCACCACCTAGCACGACATTCTGTTGCATGTTTCCTAACTCGCGGAGATCTGGTATGTGTCTTAGCTTGGAAAATGATAGAGCATTGACTTTCTAGTTTTTCTTGATGTCATTACTATATTTTCATTTCTCTCTCTCTGGGTTTAGTTTGTTCACTGGGAGAAAGGTCGTGATGTGTTCGAGAGGCTTTTGATTGATTCAGATTGGGCTATTAACAATGGAAATTGGATGTGGTTATCGTGTTCATCATTTTTTTATCAGGTTTGATTTGTTTCTTAGTAACTATCTCGTTGTTAGAATCATAATTTTTTTTTCTTTGGAACTTCATACAACGATAAATTTTTTTCTCATAAAAGTACAGCGTGGATTGTCTACCACCATTATGAGGTAAATGGAATGATACTTGTTACAAGCACTGAAAGCATTAAGCGAGCACACAGCTTTAAATTTGGCGACCAGCTTTTACTTGCTGGATCATCTGAGTCAATTTTTTAAAGAAATGCTAAATATGAGATAAAAATACCATGACCATGTGAAATATAAATGATAATATTTCATAATTCTCTCTTTTTGTTGCAATAATTCACTTTTACATTTCATGATTTTGTTGGTTGTCTTTGGCTGTCAGTATAATCGTATATACTCTCCTGTCACATTCGGAAAGAAGTATGACCCGAACGGTGACTACATTAGGCATTTTCTTCCGGTCTTGAAAGGTAAGCAAGGGGTTTGTTTGGATACACTATTATTAGAACAGTTTTTGTTTCTTAATGCAAAACTTTCCTGATGGTTTCTTTGAAATGTTTTTTATAAGAAAATTCTGTTAGTGTAGTATCATTACTGTCTTTCTAGGATAAATTTAATTTACAAGAACACATGCTTGTAAATAGTAGTTTTCAAAAATAGTTTTGCAAAGAATAATATGATTGAAAACAATTTCCCCTGCAAACCATGAATTACTCATGTTTCATGATTGATTTTGTGCTCTATTTTGCCGTTCTGAAATCCAACGTTTGATTGGCAGACATGCCCAAGCAGTACATATACGAGCCATGGACAGCTCCTCTCAGCATCCAAAAGAAGGCAAAGTGCATCATCGGTAAAGACTACCCAGAGCCAGGTTAGTTCTGAGATTTATTTTCAAATGGAAAAAACTTGATTTTCATTGAGAAAAAATGAAAAAAATTCACAAAAAGGAGCTAGACTACAAGAAGGAACTTCAGTCGAGAAATAAGACCCATCAAATAGTTACGAACGAGACTAGAAACAGAGGCCCAGCGAAACTTGAGTCACTTTGACTGTACTTTTGACTATATTTTCGAGGCTAACAATTTCTTTGTTCGACATTTGAGGATTTTATTGACATGGCTAAGTTAAGGACATGACTTTGATACCATGTTAGGAACAACGGACCTCCACAGTGGTATATCGAGCATAAGCTCTCCTTACTTTGCTTTTGGTTTTTCCAGAAGGCCTCGTACCAATGGTGATGGTGTTCCTTACTTATAAAACCCATGTTATTCCTCGTGAGACTATTCCTCTCAATAATCTTCAACGAGGAGATGCCAAGGGATGTATGTAGTCTTATATGATTGAGTGCAGAAAGCGATAAAATCAAGTATGGAATTTGGGTTCTCAAGAAAGTAATTGAAATATTCTCACGGGATGCCCCAGAATTTCTAGGCTTATCTATTAGGAGACAGATAAAACGATAACTTTTTATAACACAGATCGAGTTATGCTGCATCTTCTTGAAGTTAGAATTCATTTACTTTTAGTCGATCATATTTGATTCACCAACTCAAGTCTACTGTTTTTCCTTCAGTGGTATCACATGATATAGCTACCAAAGATTGCAGGAGGAAGATGGCTGAAGCATACGAACTAAACAAAAGATTGAATGGTATGATAAGTGAAGACGATTTGGAGAACTTGAAACGAAGTTCAGAGGAGGAACAAAGCCAAAAGGTTCAAACGAAACGGAAAAGACAAACCATCATTGACTGGATTCAAGCACCATAGTTATCTCCCGGGTTGCCGAAAGTTAAATGGAGATCACTGATGAAGATTAGTAGCTTAGCACTCACAAAAGCTCGAAGATTCCCCGTCACTTTAGAATCACAATGACCCGAACTAATGTTTGTCATTTTTGCCCTTATCTTAATAGGAGACTTTGACTAATGTTGTTGTTGGGATATGTAGCCTGATGCCTGAGATATATTTGGAAGATATTTAGATATGATAGAGATATACATGGAGAGATTTGGTAAATGTTTGATAGGGATATATTTGTTAGATTATATCTCATAAGTTTAAATTTTGGAAGCTATATTTAGTAAATTGAAACCATATATATACACATTTAGTGCTGTCAAAATGTATTCTCTTCCTTCTCTCTGTCCACTACTTAAGTCATCAATATAAAACTTTTAGTCAATATTTTTCCTTGTATTTTCTCTCTCCGGTTTTTTGTGTTCTCCTATTTTTTGTGTTCATTTTGATCAACTGTGCGCTAGCTATCCTAACAATTAGTATTAGAGCTAACAACGGGTATCGATCCTAACAGTTGTGTTGGATGATGGAAGTCCCACATCGACTAATTTAGGGTGTGATCATGGGTTTATAAGTGAGGAATACTACCTCCATTGGTATGAGGCGTTTTGGGGAAGCCCAAAGCAAAGCCATGAGAGCTTATGCTCAAAGTGGACAATATCATACCATTGTGGAGAGTCGTGTTCGTCTAACAAGTTGTAGTTATCCTAACAATTAGTATCAGAGCTAACTGGTATCGATCCATCGATCCTGTAGTTGATTGCAGAGACTGTTATTTTTTTCTTTGCTGAAGCTTACAAAGCAAAGAAAGGAGGTGGAAAATTTTAAAAAGAATAACTTCTCCAGGGACATAACAGACTTCCGTACTGTAGCACACCCTCAGTACGACACTCCCCTCTTGTGTAGGTTTCCCGAATACCATGTGGAACATCTTCAATCAAGATTTCCACTTCCTCTGCATCAATTGCTAATTTAGTTGGTCCATGGGCAGGGTGATTCGTGGAGCCCGTACACCATTTGGAGGGGCAAACAGTGAAATGGGAACGAGTAAGCAAATTTCTGTGATAATCATCCCTACCTCAATTTCATTGCCTGCATTGTCGTGAATTAATTTGATAATTCAAAATCGAAGGTTGCATCGATGGAATGTAAACCCCCTCCATCACAATGTTTAAAGCATCGTGGATAGCTATGACTTCCATTACATCCACATCAAGCAAGAACCGGAAAGGCTTGAAAAAGGTCAGCATTCTCTCCCTCATTTCATTTCGAAATGCAGCACCTATACTACTTCATTGAAGTACTTGGACTTGATATTTTGTGTGTATGTAGTCTGATGGACAATTCATTTCTCCATATGCATTCACTCTTCATTTAATTACAACTATTTTTCTAATCATGCCAGATGATTTCATCTTTCATAATCGCCCGTATCAGGGGAATACTCCAAATTATATTAGCATCTGACTCTAAATATTTCCCTTACAGCGTTCTTCTATTGACCATTAGAATCAATAAGCTTAGCCACCCTTCTAAAATTTCCATATTCACTAGGACATATAATCTTAAGAGTGGATGGTCTAGGCATCCAACAACCCATTTATCTGATTCATTTACCATATCTTATTCCCCAACAAGTGTTTTTCACAAGGTCTCTGTCCCACATCAGGATTTTCCGTACAAAGCATGTGGTTCTTCTAGACTTACCCTCCAAAAAAAGAAGAGATCCATAAGTAGTTTCATTTCAAGATTTGACATATTAGAGACATTGATCTCTAGTCATTACTTTCGACCAATGAATTTATAGGACGAAAATTTGACTCTCTTAAAGAGAACTGATTCTGGAAGTTGAAAATTTAACTAATTAATTAGAATTGTTTACGAAAAAAATTTTTAGAACCTTGAAACGTAGCCTTTAGTTACAATATATTCTTATAAAATGCTTTAAACAAACTCTGAAACAATTTCATAGTATCATTAAAGAAGATGGATGATCTGTGCAATATTGTAGCTTTTTATCCCTGTTCCAAGAAAAATCATTGCCATCTATATTTTTGTGTTAACTCAAGGTCTGATGTTTATATCATTAAACACTGGTAACTGACCCGAAATCAGCCCACAACTTAGATAGCTAAACATTAATCTAGCTAAGTTAAAAGGCAAAAATCTATTAGACACAAAATTATAGTTCCAAGAGCTATGCTAGAACCCTTTTAAAATATAGAAGATTCGACCAAGCCGAAGAAAAATCATCTGGCAACCATAATAGAGACTGACATGTTATTCGAAGAACGTATTTCTGTTGTTGATTCCGATTTGATCTCTGTGCCATCTATCATCCCTTCCAATTTGGCGTTCTGGGTGATGAAAAATGGAGGCTGTTTAGGCAATGGAAGTTGAGTAGTATCATTAAGAATCATGGAATGAACATCAAGCATGGTAGGTCTATCTGCTGGCATTTGTTGGACGCATAGAAGACTAACATGGATGCATCTTAGAGCTTTCTGTTTCTGATCGGAGTTGTACAAAGTTGAATCGATCAGTTCTTCTCCTCTGCCTTCCATCCACAGTTCCCATGCCTGAAAAGGATTCACTCCACTTCTTCAATACTTTCATTCCTTAAGCACTTCTTAATTAGACTAAAGATATAAAGAAAAAGACCAAAGATGCATAGATTTCCCTTCTTTGCTACTTACATGTCCTATGAGATTGATAGGCCGTCCAACGTCATAATTGTGGTAGTTTTTTTGAGCTGTTATGATCTCTAATAACAACACTCCAAAGCTGTAGACATCTGATTTTATCGAGAAAGTACCGCCCATTACAAATTCAGGTGATATATAACCACTGCAATGTTTGTAAGTAGAGTAAGTTTTATCCACTATGTAAAAGCTAGACAACTTATTAAGCTTTTTGATATTGACAATATTTAATATGATATCAGACTTAACTTTTTAGCCTAACGGCGATTAACAAAAGAGTATTGAATAATAAATTTGACTGAACTCACTTACTATGTACCAACAATGCGACTAGTATTTGCTTCTTGTTCCGTGGGCTTAAAGATTCTAGCCATGCCAAAATCCGATATTTTTGCATTCATCTCATCATCAAGCAAGATGTTGCTAACTTTTAAATCTCGATGAACTATTCGTAATCTAGAATAGGTGTGAAGGTAAAGTAGTCCTTGAATTATCCCTTGGATTATGTGCAGGCGTTTGTCCCAATCTAGTACTAAATTTCTCACTGGATCTGTAAATTCAACGACGTGTTAGAAAGAGAGAAATCTCGAACCATGCATTTATACAAGTGTTTAAAGCTGGCCTAATTCACTAACCAAAGAGGAAGGAGTCAAGGCTTTTGTTGGGCATGTACTCGTACACCAATAATCTCTCTTCTTTATGAATGCAGCAACCAATAAGCCTAACCAGATTAGTGTGTTGCAGTTTGGCAATCAGCATGGCTTCATTCTTAAACTCCTCTTGTCCTTGTCCGGATTTCTTTGACAGTCTCTTAATAGCAACTTCTTGGCCATCATCCAAACTTCCCTACAGAAGTGAACTCATTCAGTTCTCTTGAGAATATTAACTCATTTTGCTCAAACTTTTATATTACAATCTTCTTTTTGTTTCATATTTATACTAATCATTGTTTGTACTCATAATATGTGATCTTTAACTTATCATTTTTATTTTATAAATAGTTTTCTTATGCTACATTGAAAAGAAAATGATACGTACCTTATAAACGGGTCCAAAACCACCTTCTCCCAGCCTACAATTGTCAGCGAAATTATTTGTTGCAGAAACTACATTTTCAAATGTGAAGAACTGCAGTTCGGAGTTCTTTATGTCTCTTCTCTGCTTGTTCTTAGTTTTCAGAATGTTAGAACTTTTAGATTTGGCCCCCATTTCTTGTAGAACATTTTGATGCTCTGAATCCTTCCTCCTTAGTTTTCTTACAGCTGTAGATTAAAGCGAATGAATGAACTCAATTCATGCATTCATAAGACATCCAAGGAGAGTTTTTTTTTTTTTTTTTTTGTAGAAAGAAATTAATATTGATTTACCTTTGTGGATTTGTGTTTTCGATTTGAGATAGAAAATAAAACACAATAGGAGAAGAGTTGTAGGTACTATTACGCCGATTGTAACTTCCAACCATACCCTTTTTTTTCCTGCAGGAACTAAGAATCCATAACCAGTTGTGAGGAGTTTGAATAAACCAATTGAAAACAGAATCGAAAGTGAGTATTTGGAGTAACCAGCTTACCTTTCCCTTCAGTCTCCTGAATGGACCAAATAATCCGCTTGCTTCCCTTCCCAGGAACAAACATTGCTCCCACATTCCATGTCTCACAGCCAGTGCCTTCTTCATTCGTAGAACTAAAAGCTATGCAACCACAGCTTGAAATGCAAATCTTTTCACAATCATAAATTGTGAGATTCTCACTGTCACTGTATCTCAAACTATTTCTCTCCATGTTACCAAATCTCTGTGTGGTTGAAAATCGTTTCGGCGGATTTCGACATTCTGGTACTTTGTGCTGCTTCTTCCCCACACACCCATCTCCAGAAACACCCTTAGCCACCTCAAACAACTCGTTCTCAAAATAGGGACATTCAACTTTCAAATCCCAATTACTCCCCACCAATTTTCCATCGTTTACCAATCTCAACCGGGGTTGAATTTCAATCACTCCATTGTTCAAGTTGGAGGTTGAGTAATTGAAGAAGGTCTCATTCTCATTCGAAAATCGCCTGAACACGAATTCTTGATTGTTGATGCTTGAAAGTTCTTCTGAGAATTCAAACCGGCCATCCCGCCAGTTTCCACTAGTCCAGAAAATAGCTCCTCTATGTAATATCAGTAACTGGTTTGTATTGTTGGGATTCATTGTGAGTGTGAAAGACCCTGATAGAACAGAATAATCTCCTCTTTGTGATGTTATAGACCAAGTAGATCCAGTTTTATGATTGATCCCAATTTTCATCCCAGGTAGAAGAGTGTCGGTTGGATGATCAAAGCTCTGCCATAGCTGTTGCTTGATTGACCCATCAGGATTCAACACACCTAATATAAAATTGCCATTGTCGAGTAGCATGGCGCTGCTGTTCATGGGCTC